CTGTATTGGTGTCACTGGGGATGTTACTGACACCAAGTCAGTTCCCCCCAGTCTCAGAATGCCCACCTCAGTCCCGCTATAAGTCGCTCGTTGCCGCCATTACTAGTAAAAAAAAAAAAAAAAGTCCCAGTATATACCGCCATTTGTAAATGTTATAACTTTCATGCAAACCAATTAATTTACACGTATTGGGATTTTTTGTAGCAAAGACGTAGCAGAATACATTATGACCTACATGTATGACAAAATTTGATGCACAGGGTACACATTGATACACTGCATAGGAATGAGGCCTTAGAGGTTCATTTACACTCGTGGTTGGGGAGCATTATTGCCCACTGAGCACAAGCCATTCAAGTGAATGGGGCCTCGTTGTAACTGCCCCTCATCCATGCACAATGCACATGGGTGTGGTGAAGCAGTCCAGCATTTAGAAGGTTAAACTTGTTTAATGCTCTCTGAAGAGCGATCCATGTCCAGCACCACATGTATGACTGAGCCTTTAATTATGATTTTTTTGTTATTATTTTTTACAATTTGTAATTATTTTTTTTACATTAAAAAAGACCACTGTCACTGGAGCAGTACAGAGACACTGAAATGGAATACAGTGTCTCTGATCACTATGCAGAGCAGTACAATGTCGCCATAGTGTCACTGCATAGCTATAGTAACAGTGATCAGTGACAGATGCTTTTTTTTCTTCCTTTTTTTTTTTTTACTTTATCAGTGTGTAGTACAGTGCCCAGCCAATTGCTGGGAGATGTGAGACTCTATAGGCTGCAGTGTTGCAACCTGTGCTTACTTGTGTGATTGCTGTAATTGGTCACAGCAATCACATGCCGCAGGGTCAATTACAGTGGCCCTGTACCCTGTTCAGGCCAGAGACTGTGCACGAGTGGTGAGAACAGAAGGACGCACCAGTACATCCTACTGGAATAAACAAGCTATATTTTAATGGCCGAGTGGAAGGTGGTTAATAGTGAGAAATTAAAATTGCACTTATGTATAAGTGGCTTGATCAATGCTTATCACAAAAAAAGCTCATTCAGAGGAACACTATGCCCTGCCAATAGATACAATAGTACTCTCATGTAGAAGCCAGCAGTGGGAGGGCAGCAATATAAAAACTGTGGTGGATACTGGAAAATCTATGAGAGAGCGTCTTAAGCTGAAACATGAACTGGGGACCATATCTGTATATAGGGTGATGCTGTCCCTCCACTAAACTAGCATGCTTTAAAACTGCACCTACATATACAGAATTTGACCACCACCATATCGTCAAAAACAGCTCATCCTAACATGTTTCAGTGTCTGATGAAGGGGCATAGACCCCGACACATGTTAGGATGAGCTGTGTTTGGTGATATGTATTGATTAAGTCACTTACAGCAAATTTAAATTATCGCTATTGATGTGATACTATCTGCACTACCCACATGGAAGAAAAATATATTTAACATATATTTAAAAAATATTCTTCCCAAATATATTGACATATATTTGAAATGCTACAATTTTGGTCATATTCACTCTATTAAAAAAAAAAAAATAAAATATAAATATATATATATATATATATATATATATATATATATACCGTATTTTTCGCTCCATAAGACGCACTTTTTTCTCCCCAAAAAAGGGGGGAAAATGTCAGTGCGTCTTATGGAGCGAATATGGAGCGGCCGGTCCGGTATTTCCACCGCCGCCGTGTCAGAATACCGGGCCGGCCGCTCAGCTCTGCAGCGAGACCTTATAGAGATGACTGCTGACCTTTGGGGAGGGAGGGGGAGGGAGGGGGAGGGAGGGGGAGCGGGTACCTGAATTTGACAGGTACCCGCTCCCACTTCCGTGGAGTTGTTCTTTCATCTTACCTGTTCCTCTATCCAGCGGCGCGCTGTCTTCCCGGCTTCTGTAGTGTGGGCATGACAGCCGGGTGCCAAGTGCGCATGCGCAAGAAGCTTTTTGTGATAGGTAAGGCGGCACCTGGGACACATGACAGATCCCAGAAGCCGCCGGACCAATCACAAAGCGCAAGTACTTCTCGCTCATGCGCACTAGGCACCCGGCTGTCATGCCGAGCGCCATTACAGAAGCCGGGAAGACAGCGTGCGGCTGGAGAGAGGAACAGGTAAGATCAAAGAACAACTCCGCGGAAGCGGAAGTGGGAGCGGGTACCTGTCAAATTCAGGTACCCGCTCCCCCCCCTCCCCAAAGGTCAGCAGTCATCCCCTGTACTATCCACAGTCTCTGGTCATCCCTGTGCTGTCCGCAGTCTCTGGTCATCCCTGTGCAGTCTGGTCATCCCCGTCCACAGTCTCTGGTCATCCCTGTACTGTGTCCGCAGTCTCTGGTCATCCCTGTACTATGTCCGCAGTCTCTGGTCATCCCTGTACTGTGTCCGCAGTCTCTGGTCATCCCTGTACTGTGTCCGCAGTCTCTGGTCATCTCCTGTACTATGTCTGCAGTCTCTGGTCATCTCCTGTACTATGTCTGCAGTCTCTGGTCATCTCCTGTACTATGTCTGCAGTCCATTAGTTCAGAATTTTTTTTTCCTGTTTTCTGCCTCTAAAACCTAGGTGCGTCTTATGGAGCGAAAAAATACGGTATATACTGCATGTGGAAATGTGTTTTTATTACAAAATATATGCAAAATATTTTTAAAAATACATTTCAAAAATACTGTATGTCTTTAAAAATACAAATCTACATTTTTGGAATGCATTTACAAGTATTTGTAAAAATATATGTTAAAATTACTTTTTTTACATGTTAAAAAAATATGAAGAATATATTTAAATAAATATATATTTTTATAAATATATTTTTTATAAAATATATTCTTCAGATTTGTTTTAACATATAAAAAAGTCATGTTAACATGTATTTTTACATATATTTGTAAATGCATTCCAAAAATGTAGATTTGTATTTTTAAAGACATACAGTATATTTGAAATGTATTTTTAAAAATATTTTTCAGATATTTTGTAATAAAAACGCATTTCAACATGCAGTATATATATATATATATTTGTTTGTTTTTTTTAAATATATTGAATATTGCCAAAATGGTAGCATTTCATATATATGTCAATATCTTTGGGAAGAATATTTTTAAAAAATATTTCAAATTTTTTTTTCTTCTATATGGGTATCCAGTGCACTCTGTTTCTGTATTTATTTTGATATTTCAATACTCTTAAGTTGATAAAGTGGTTCTCATTTATCCAGGTCATGAAAGAGCTAGTAGTGGTTAGTCACACTCAAACGAACTTGTCCATGAATTTGAAAATGTTTCCCTGCTCGTCTAAACAGCTTCTTCAGTTCTAATGAGTATCATTCATTTAAACTGAAAAAGCTGCTTGGATGAGAAGTGAAATACCCATTACTGAACAAGTCTAGTGGAATGTTACTAAAGACTGCTAGCTAAAATGGCAATCTGGAATAAATTATCTGAAGCAACAGTATGGGACGGGAGATATTTGAAGGATTTCATGTTATTACTACATGTATAACCTTCTGGATATGACTATGCTAAGAATAGAAAGTTACTAAGGGAAGACCACCTCCTTCAGGCCCTGACAAAGTAAGAATTAGATAAATGTGTTTGATTACGTGATGCCATTTTGAAGTTGTCCTTTCACAATACTAAATGTTTTTACATATTTCTAATGTATTTATAAATAATTTTGTATGTCCCACAAGACAAAACAAATTACATGTGGATTGCACATGCTATACTTTCTCCTGTACCCTACAGAAGCCTTTTTCAACTTGAGGTTTCTTCAGGGGTGCCTTGGCAAAATGCCAAGAAATTTACCAAAAAAAAAAAAGCCAGAGGTGTATCAAGCCTGCATTTAGTTACAGAAAGCCACAGGTTTTAATTGTGCACTATTATGACCTTCTAGCTGCCAGCATCGTAACAACCAATGACATCATCAGTTGATAAGGAGGATGTTGGTCATCAGCACAGCATCCTTGCTTGTCCTTCTCTTGCCCCTCTCCTTCAGCACTGGGGTCACATTAGCTGAGAGATAAAGAAAAAACTAGGGAAAAGAGAAACATTGGAATATTAGTCAGTACCAAACTGCAAAAATGTATTTTATTTTTAGAAGAATAAATTATCTCTAATGTTGGGTGTCCTAAGTGTGTGGATGTTGACGCCAGGGGCGGACTGACAACTCAAGGGGCCCTCCGGGCAATAGGGGATCATGGGGCCCCTGTGTCCTTGGCTAAACTCAAAATAGCCTATGAAAATGGTACCAGGAGCATCTCATGGGGCCCCCTACTGACCCCGCGCCCTCGGGCAGTGCCAGAGTTTCCAAATGGTCAGTCCGCCCCTGGTTGACGCATGCTATAAAACTTATAGAATAGTTTTTTTTACTATTTAGAATGGGGTGCCTCAAGACTGTCCATAATTTTAACCGCTTACCTACAGGGCACGTATACCCCCTTCCTGCCCAGGCCAATTTCCAGTTCTCACCACTGTCACACTTTGAATGACAATTGCGCGGTCATGCAACACTGTATCCATATGAAATTTTTTAGCATTTTTTTGTGACAGACAGAGCTTTCTTTTGGTGGTATTTAATCACCTCTTTTTTATTTTTTCTTAAACAAACCAAAAACCACTGAAAATTTTGAAAAAAAAATGTTTTTTCTTAGTTTTTGTTATAAAATTTTGTAAATACGTGATTTTTCTCCTTCACTGATGTGCGCTAATGAGGCTCTAGTGATGGGCACTGATAAGATGCACTGATGGACACTGATAGGTGGCACTGATGAGGAGGCACTGGTAGGTGGCACTGATGGGCATTGACAGGCATCACTGATGGGCTCTGAAAGGCAGCACTGATATATGGCACTGATAGGCGACACTGATAGGCGGCAATGACTGGCACTGATAGGCGGCACTGACTGGCACTGTTAGGTGGCACTGACTGGCACTGATAGGCGGCACTGACTGGCACTGGTAGGCGGCACTGACTGGCACTGATAGGCGGCACTGATAGGTGGAACTGATTGGCATTGATAGGTGGCACTGACTGGCACTGATGAGTGACACTGAAGGGCAGCTCAGATGGGCACTGATATGTGGCATTGATGTGGCACTGGTAGGCACTGATATGTGGCATTGATGTGGCACTGATGGGCACTGGTACGTGGCACTGTTCAGCACTGACAGCTGGCACTGATGGACACTGACAGGTGGCACTTCTGGGGCCACACCACACTGATCATCAGGGCACACTGATCAGTGCCCTGATGATCAGTGTACATGTCCCCTCCGCGGAATGCCGATTACCAGCTCTCCTCTCCTCTCGAGCTGTCAGCGTGACAGCTCGAGAGGAGAGAAATGGCGATAACCGGCATTTCCCTGTTTACACATTGGACACAGCTGATCACATGACCGAGCCGACATCTTCGGCTCTTTCCGTGGATCGGTGATCCGCTGTGTCCGAGGGACACAGAGCACCACTGATCGCCGCACTGCGCGCTCCCTGAGTCGTGCATGCGTGGTGAGAATGGAAGGCCGTCAAAAGACAGTCTATCAGAACAAGAGAACCACCTTGCGCCCGTCATTGGACTATATGGCGGCCGGGAGGTGGTTAAAGGGTGCCTTGACTGAGAAAAGGTTGAGAAGCGCTGCCCTATAGCCTTAGAAATAAAACCAATCCCTTCAAAGAAACTGCAACTTATGCTAGCCACAGGCATACGTAGAGTCATTTTACCATCATTTCAGGAGTCTGAACCTACAGCTGTGAGATGTGCCTGATAGACTGAAGCAGAGAGATATCTGTTCTTCTCGAAGGAAACATTTCAAGGTAACTTGGAAATTTTCCAACAAGTCAGGAACTCTATGTGATCATTACCAATGACATTAACATATCTTTTGTTTCAAAGGGTGGGAGAGGTCTAAGGTGTGAATTGGTCATTACAATGAGTGACAAGCTTGGTAGGAACATCCTGTGTTCAGTGTTTTGTCCATTTGAGTACCCTGAAAACGCTTTGCATGCATTTATGATGAAAAAAGGTTCTGGACAACATCGGGAACTGGAAGAGTTAAAAAAAAAAATTTAAACCGCAAACGCTTATAAATGCGATTTGCCGCATTTAGCCTCGTTTACAAGTGTTTTGCTGATAAAATCGACTGCTGAACGCAAGTTTTCTGCATTAAAAAAACTACTGTAAACTCAAATGCCTGTAAACTACTGCAAACGAAGATGTGCACATGGACAGATAGGAAAACATTAGGGAGAGTTCAGGGGCTGCGAAAAAAAAAACGGTGAACAGCTCCTAAACGTGAGTTTATCAGCTGCAGTGTACATGAGCCCTTAAATCTTTGCCCAAAAATCGCAGTAAAGTATCAGTATAGGAAAAGGTTGCTTTTGGCTACACTTAGTTAGCTAGTTAGGGCATCAGAAAAGTGAGTGTATAAATAACATGCCAGGCCACTTTTTAACCGGAATATGTAATCCTTGTCTATACAGTTCATGCATCTGCATTCTTTTGGCTCTGGTAATGTTAGCTGTATAGAGTTTTTTTTATCTTTTTTTAGCGTTTTTGCATTAGTGTGTAGCAGCGTTTTCCTGCGTTTGCATTTTTTTGGCCAAATAACTCCTAAGGGAACTGTTAAATCCTTGCCCAAAAATTGCAGTATGTAATCCTTGTCTATACAGTTCATGCATCTGCCTTCGTTTGGCTCTGTGACAGAGAATCTTCATGGACTGCTATGGTCAGCACACCTAGGAAGTCAGAGGGAAAGAAATAGGAACAGATTTGCTCAGAACAGTTAGCCATAGTGAAGATGCCTTCTAACACTGACCTCTTAGATTGTAAGCTCCAAGGAGCAGGGCCCTCCTAGCCCTCATGTATTGAACTGTATTGTTGCTGTATTGTCTCCTGTTATATTGTAAAGCGCTGAGCAAACTGTTGGCGCTATATAAATCCTGTATAATAATAATAATAATAACATTCATAATGTTAATGTGTACATATCCTGCTAATATTCTGCAAATATGACATTTTCCCACTAATAAAATCCTTGTCTTCTGCTCACTAATGTCTTACATAATTCTGATCCTGGTATATGAAAGTTAAATTCCAAATCAGATATTGTGATTAGTTTACTAAACGGATAAAAAAAAAAATCTGTATCTACATGACTGTACTTGGATGTTGTGGCCGGCTACATGTCACAGCAAATCAAGGCTGATCTATGTCACAGCACATCTAAAGTTCACTATGCTGATTTTTTTTGTGTCAGTTGTTTATTTTTCCAAAAAATGTTAAGGCAGTAAATCCAGCAGTTGCCATTTGTAGTTTATGCAGTTGAAAGGAAGGCTAGCGACATACACATCACCATTTGAAAGGAGACAGAGAGAAATGACTAGCTTACGTCTCATGTTAATTATGTACTAAATATTTAAACGTACAGCATCCTCAGGATTTGTTCTTATCCATTATAAAATAAACAACATTTTCCCTGGCAAACTTATCCTTAGATGACCAAGAAGAAGGCTTAAAGTGTTACTTAACCCAGGACCCTGCTTTCAGTAGTTCTGGTCTCCCACAGTACACACAACATGGAAATGCAATTATTTTAGTAAATAGCTACTGCTAAATACCTTTTCTCATCAGCAGTTAGAGCGGTCTTGTGACTTCTATCAGTGTCCAGCTGAGCACTAGCTAAAGCTTGTAGGGGGAGTTTTCTTTCTGCTCTAGGAGGATGGAAAATTCCTGACCTCTGTTTGGACAGTGCTGATTGGCCATGTGCTAGTCACATGCACTCTCCCAGAAACAAAAAAACCCCTCTAGCAATACTCACCAAACTGAGCATGTGCATGCCTACAGTTCAGTCTGGATATAAGAGGTGTTCACTTGAAAAAGATGAGGTACAGAGAAGAATGGATCAAACAGCCTTTTTACACAATGCAGAGGATTAACCCCTTAGGATCCACAGTGAGTATAACAAGCATGCTTTACTGCATATACAGACTGATTTTACTGTCGTGGGTTTAGTCACACTTTACGCTGGCCACAAACTGTTTGAATTTTAGCTGGTTCCTTATAAACCAGCCAAAATTCATTAAGTGGATTGCCCTGTAGTCGTTCATACCTCAAATGAAAAATCAAAAGAGCCAGGGGGAAAAGTGTTGGACAAACAGCACCTGCATCTAATCAGATGCAGGCATTGTTCGGGTATTTTGACAACTGGCGGGCTGTCGAAATACAGTAGTGGCTGCAGGAGACTTGTCTAGCCACACTATGTAGTGTGGATGGAAGCACTTGTTAGATGTTTTTGTAATTGCCCTCCTGAAGATTTACCCCCATTCATGACCACGTCATTTTTTGCGTTGCGGCGCTGCATTATATTAACTGACAACTGCGCTGCTATGCAACGCTGCACCCAAATTAAATTTGTAGCCCTTTTTTCCCATGAATTGAGCTTTCTTTCTGTGGTATTTGATCACCTCTGCCTTTTTTATTTTTTGCGCTATAAGAAAAAAAAGACTGACAATTTTGAGAAAAAAACAATATTTTGTACTTTTTGCTATTAAACATGTCCAGTAAAAAAATTTAATAAATCAAATTTCATCATAAATTTAGGCCAAAATGTATTCTGCAACATGTCTTTGCTAACACAAAATCCCAATACTTGTAAATTAATTGGTTTACAAATGGTGGTATAGATCATGGGATTTTTTTTCTACTAGCAATGGCAGCGATCAGCGACTTTTAGCGGGACTGCAGCGGACATTCTGACACTGGGGGGGAACTAACCTGGTGTCACTGATTTCTCCAGTGACACCAATAAAGTGATCAGTGCTAAAAAAAAAAGCACTGACACTGTACTAATGGCAGTGGGCAGGAAGGGGATAATGTGAGGGGCAATTGAAGGGTTAACTGTGTGCTGGAAGTGTTTTACTAGGGGGCGGGGGTGTGTTCTTCACTGTAAGCACACTGATCAGGGTGGCTTTACTGTGCACAGCCATCCCAAGCAGTGTGCTCGAGCTGACAGGGAGGAAGATTGTTTGTAAACAAAACAATCTTCCTCCTCGTTGGAGATGCTCGGTAATCTCCGGGACCCGGTGATTGGCATCTACGGCTGCAAATGGTAGTGCGTGCGTGCCCCCTACCCAGAAATGCAAAATCACATATATATACGTGATTTCGCACACAGGTGCCGCCCTGTAGCAGTATATCTGATATAGGGCGGTCCTTAAGCAGTTAATTTTGTTCATTTTTTTTTTTTTAATGTTCAAAAAAACAGTCAAACTCTCATTGCTTCAAAATTGTTTGGATCCTGTAAACATTTAAATATGTGTATGGGTATCTTTAATTAAAGAGGATCTTCACCCTGGAAAAAATACAAATACTGTAGCTGTTGATTTTTAATAAAAAGACACTTACCAGCCCAGGGATCCAGCATTGTCCTCACCTGGACCGGTTCTTTGCCATTCTCCAGATCCCCCTTGCTGCCATGTTTACTGTGTTGAGACCCCCTGTGGCTTCACAGCCAGCTCCCCACATTGTGACATGTCCAAGAAAGGTGTGGGCAGGGAGGCAGTGAGGATTACCAAGGTGATCTCAGCAGAAGTGGGAGCAGGTACATGCCAGAATTGGGTACCCGCTCCATTAAAAAAAAATGCCAAAAGCTGAAGGGGGTGATCAGTGGAACTTCCCTTTAAAGGTAAAGTTCCACTTTAAGAAAAGGGAGAAAATTATAAACAGTGAACCAAAGATATATAATCATGTATTATACATATCCTGTATGTAGATTTTTGTTAAACCTAAAAAAAAAACCCCAAAAAAAACATTTAGTTTTGGATAAAGTGGAGAAGGTCTAGACTCTATATTCTATACTTAATACTCTAGGTGCGCTGACACTGATGATCCAGCCAGGGGCGGACTGACAACTCATGGGGCCCCCGGGCAATAGGGGATCATGGGGCCCCTGTGTCCTTGCCCAAACTCAAAAAAGCCTATGAAAAAGGTACCAGGGGCATCTCATGGGGCCCCCTACTGACCCCGGGCCCTCGGGCATTGCCCGAGTTTCCAAATGGTCAGTCTGCCCCTGGATCCAGCTGACACACACGACTCTGCTCTTTGGACCCCAGACGATCTACACAAACTTCAAACCTCATACCAATCCAATGCTTGAATGCATGTGCTTCAGACCCACATGCATTCAAGCATTGGATTGGATTGTGTGTGTCAGCTGGATCATCAGTGTCAGTGCATGCTCGGAAACACGTAGCAATGAATTCTGGTCACTGACGTCATCACGCCTACACCGACATTGTGCTTCAGCGTGCGTTCCAGATGCCATCTTGAGGAGTACGTGCATGCCGGCCGGCTCTACATCTATCTCCCTCCTGCTACCACGCTTGTCCAGCGAGACGCAGATGTCTAGGCACCTGTCACAGCCGTTCTACACTGTGTTTCCACACTTATTTATTCAAAC